AATGACTTATTAGTATCGGATTATTGGGATAATGGATGGTGAACGAATTGCGATTTTATAATTAGCAGCTTAACGATTTGGGGGCGGATTACTCAATTTTCTTATCGAGTAAACCGTTAACCTGTTAAGAATTTTTATATTTACATTTTTACCTGTATGTATATAAAGTACTATTAAAACCCTAAATGGCTAAATCCCTAATTTCTATTTTCTAATTCTCAATTGTTTGCGGTCACCAAAAGCAGAGAAGTCGACAGTCTCGTCTCTCTCTTGAACTGAGAAGTGAGAACTAATAAGTCGAAAAATCAAAATCTTAATGATTAATACGTGTATGTCTGTATGAGTAGTCTTGATGGTATTAAACATTTAATTAATATGTATATAACAGTGGGAGTAGTCTTGAAGACTCTTCAATTAAAAAATATCGTTTGGTTAGATCTTAGATGGTATTAAATATTTGGTATTGATTTGAAACTGTTTGGTATTGATTGAATGATTGTTAAAAAAATTTCCATTTGGTTTAGCCGATAAGCCGCCCGATAACCCCGACAATTATTAATCTGATACCACCAGTTATCTTATTGGACGGCTAGCGAATTACTATATTTATAATCCGATAACCGTTAAACCAAATCGTTAAGCGTAATTATCGATCCGATCCGCTCGATAAGTACCCCTACTTTCATCCCTTCCGAAGCAAAGGAGGCAAAACGAGAACGTTAATCAGATACTTAGGGAGTGGGAAAGCAGCATAAAAAGCTGGAAAAATATATAATCATAGAATTATTAAAGGATGTTATTTCAATGAAACAAGTTAAATTAAATTAAAATTGATTGGCTCTAGGATTGAACCAAACTTTTATAACCATTCGATAAAAGATGGTTACATTTGATTACATCAATAAGTCGATTTTTCAGTTGTCTAAAGAAAATAATGAAAATTTTAACTTTATTTTCTTTAAGTAGGAGTAGGCTAGGACCGCACTGAAACAAGGAATATGATATGTCACTATGAACGGAAAATAAGGGATATGATATGCTGTGTTCTTATGTATTCCTCAATAGACAACAAAAGGATGTTGAACACTTTTGTTTTATGATTTTCGTTTTTTTTTTTTGTCTCCTTTAACATTCTCTTTATATATTTTATTTTTTTATTTGATGGTAAGGTGGTAATAGGGAAAAGGAGAAGGAAGCATTTGGTGGTGAATATGAAACTTTCTTTTGCACTATGCCTTGTGAAAAATGTGTTGCATATTAAATTTGAAATCTAACCATTATTTTCTTTTTAATTCTTCATCCAAATTGAAAGACATTTTTTACACCAATACTGACTGAAAACTGAAAAGATACAACAACAATTGCAACAAAAGAAAAATAAAATTATTTCTTGATTTTTTCAATGTAATAAAAATAGAAAAAAGTAAATAATTTTACCCTTCATATTGTTATGACACGTGTATTTCTACGCATCTCCCAATTCGTGACCCTTACGTTGTTTCTATTTCTTTATTTTTAATTTTCCCTGCCACATAAAGTCCTCTTCATAAAAATCTACTGTAGGAAACTCCATTTTCATTCGACCCCTCTATCTCCCCTTTCAGTAATTCAACTAATCCTTATGTATATATATAGATTATGCAGTAAAAAACAGTGGTTCTTGAAAATTTCTTACTATACAGTATACCCTCTTGGAAAGGTATCAATATCCCTATTTTCATTTTCCAAAAAGCCTTTTGAGTACTTCTAGAAATTTCTTGGACAGAGTTTGCTTGTGTGTACAACTTGTGTGATGACACATGTTATTAACTTGTTGTTTCCCTATGACTCTTTTTTGGCCTAGAAATACACAGGAGTATACGCCAAAGCCTATCTATATCTTTTTTTTCCTTTCTAAATTCTAACTTCAAAAACTCATCTCTCTATTTTTGTGTTTGTAACAGCAAGAAGGGGATACCCTTTTTTTCTTTGGTGTCTTGTATTATAAATAAAGGTGAGAGCTTTGAGTTGCAAATGATGATAGGATTAGGAGTGGAGGAGTTGAGCTTTGAGAAGCTGATGGTGAACAATAATAACAGTGGTGGGGGTTGTAAAATGGGGGGTGGGGGTGTGATCAGAGAGTGGAAGGATATACCTATGGAGTTGTTGTTGAGGATAGTTGCACTTGTGGATGATCGGACGGTGATTGTGGCTTCTGGTGTTTGCAGTGGATGGAGAGATGCTATTTCTTGGGGCCTCACTCACCTTTCCCTTTCTTGGTATATGGCTTCATCTCTTATTATTCCTTTTTTTGAACAAAAGTTTAAGTTTTTACTATTAGATTGTGTGTTTTGCTTCTGGAATTCTGGTACTTTTTACTTGATGTAATGGATGAAGGGCAATTCTTGTTTTTCATTTATCTGATGAAAAAGATGGTCTTTTGTTGAAATCAGGGGAGTCAAGTCAGCACAGACTGATTACAGAATGAAAATCTACAATTTTTTGTGTACTGAACTATCTTGGTCCTATTTGCCTGATCAATTTATTTGAGAGACTATAGGTTTTCTTTGTTTCTTTAACTTTTCTGGGGAAGAGTTTTGTAAAAGTTGTTGAAAAAAACCTTTGAGTTTTAATCTAAGATTGAATGTTAAAGGGTTGACTGAAAATTTCCCCTATTAGGATATGCAAGTGCAAGACTTGGATGAGAAAGTTGAGTTGATAGTCTTGCACTTTCATCAACGGATTTGGGGTAATTAGAAACAATAGGATGGTGATTAAAAATCCCATAGGTCTATCACATGTGTTTATATTTGACATGCCCCAAATATGATAATATAGTCATTAATAGCATAATGGTTACAACTGTGCTCTGTTGCAAAATTGGCCTCTTTTTATCTCTATCCTGGACTTCTGGAAGACATATTTATGTTTTAGTGCTCAGAAGTTTCGAAAAGGAGAAAACATAATGGCATATGATTGTGCTTTGCCTTTATTTCAGTTTTTTTCTTTCCCTTTTTGGGGGTTTTATTAGAATTTGGATTGGTTTCGCTATCTTGCTTGCTGGTATTAGTATTGTGGGAGGTGATGGAATTACATAGATTTTTATTATTAGAGAGCTGGACTCATGTACGACTATCAATTTAAAGCTGATGTTGACCTCTGATAAGTATGAGGGATTTTTCCTCTGGTTATTTGTGGTGTATTTCCTGAGATTCTAACTTCTACAGCAATTTTTTTTCCTCAGGTGCAAGAGGAACATGAACAACTTAGTGCTGGCACTTGCACCCAAATTCACAAAGCTGCAGGTTCTAACTCTTCGACAAGATTTACCACAACTTCAGGATAATGGCGTAGAGACAATTGCAAATCACTGTCATGAACTTCAAGACCTTGATCTTAGCAAGAGTTTTAAGCTAACTGACCGTTCCCTCTATGCTTTAGCTCACGGCTGTCCAAACCTCACGAAGCTGAACATCAGTGGGTGCTCTGCTTTCAGTGACACTGCTGTTGCATACCTTGCTGAGCGTTGCAGAAAACTAAGAGTCTTGAATCTTTGTGGCTGTGTTAAAGCTGCAACTGATAAGGCATTGAAGGTATATGCCTCGAACTCTAAAATGTGTTATTGTTAGGAGTACTTCAAAAACCCATTGGTAGTTCTAACTGAAACGGATGTTATTACTTTGTGCAGGCTATTGGTTATTACTGTAACCGACTGCAGACGGTGAATCTAGGTTGGTGTGATAAAGTTGGTGATGAAGGTGTAATGAGCTTGGCTTATGGCTGTCCTGATCTCAGAGCCCTTGATCTGTGTGGCTGTGTTCTTATAACAGGTAAGACCTGTGTCTGGTAAGATTTTATCTGAATCTTTCCTAAAATATCCATGCTCAAGAATTTAAGGTGTGTTTACTACTAAGCTGACTTCTATTAGCTTTATGCCTAACTTGGCAAAACTTAAGTCGTATTCAAGTATTAAGTTTTATGTATGGCACACAGAGGTGGAGCCATGATTTGAAGCTTGTGGGTTCAGAATTGTATTGTAATCCTTTTAAGTTACTCGGTTCTAAATTAATGATTTGTAGAAATTCAATGGATTTCTTAAGACAAATATAGGATTTGGACCAAAGCTATTGCATTTGGCCGAACTCATAATTCGTATTCTAGCTCCGCCCCTGATGGCACATCTTGTCAAAGAGAAGAATTCATTTATGCCCTATTAGTAACTAACTGGCAGGAAATATACATGCAAGAAATTGTGCCCTAGGAAATTTGTGTAGTCTTCCTGTTGCTTAGTAGAGCTGTATTGTTGTGGAAGATATCTTTCAGATAAAATTCAATCAGATTGTCTCCTATATTTCTTCTTAGGATCGTTTTGTTGTGGAATTTCATGATCATTGCACTTAAACTCGTTGGACCGATATTCACTAGAAAGGTATTCGGGGATGCTGCTGCTGCATTGATCTCCTTTAAAAGTTCTGAGGCAGAGTTGTTGATGCCTCCATTTGGAGTCATCTTTTTGATTTGACCATCCATCTAACATGTCTAATCTTATATGCTGCAGATGAGAGTGTGATTGCTTTGGCGAACAATTGCCCTCACTTGAGATCCCTCGGCTTATACTTCTGCCAGAACATCACAGACAGAGCAATGTACTCTTTGGCCCAGAGTCGGGTCAAGAACAAGCACGAGATGTGGGCGTCTATGAAGAAGAACAGGTACGAGGACGAAGGGCTTATGAATCTAAACATCAGCCAGTGCACTGCTCTCACACCTCCTGCTGTCCAGGCAGTGTGCGAAGCATTTCCTGCTCTTCACACTTGCCCCGGGAGACATTCCCTCATAATTAGCGGCTGCTTGAACTTAACGTCGGTGCACTGTGCATGTTCTGTCCAAGCACACCGTGCACGCGTTCTCCATCCAGCTCACTGAGTGTTGGTTGTATGGAGGAGAGATTTCCAACTCCAAGTTCCTGGGCCTCCAAGTTGAACGCGGCCTTGTACATATTTGTTTGTGTAAAAATTATGCTGGACATTCTTGGCTGTATAAGCCAATCCGTTCTGTTTGTTTAATCTTTTGGACTGATAACTTGTTGGTTTATGTTATTCTGACTCCTATCATGTGTTTAAATGTTTTGTGAAAGACTTCTATTTCATGCTTCACCCCTAAAACATAAGGAGAAAAAAGCTTGATATGTCATGTTTCAAAATGGTGGCAATACCTCTGGACTTCAATTGATAATCTCACACCTTAGTTCGAGTTTAAAACAGAAGCAGAAAGTTCCATCTCGAATCATGCCTAGTTACAACTTGCATATCAAACAAATGGCTTAGTTGTTTTATTAGAAACAAAGTAGAAGATGTTGAATTGAAGTTAATGTTTTTTTTAAGACGTAGACATTGCCTTAACTTGCACGTCATTGATAACATAACATCAGACTTGTCTCTTCCTCTAGATTTTCAATGCTGATGTGAGAATGTTTGTCTTTTATTGAACCGTATAATATACTGTATCATCAGGTTTTAGAAAAGGGTGTCACGATGACATAAGTGAGAAGAGGATGTAAGTTGTAGAAATAAAGTAATTCGGAGTGGTGAAGAGCTGATGTTATGTAACTTAAAGTTTTAAATGTAGGTACTTTTAGTAAATGAATATGATCTAAATTAGTGAATGGTGGCTATTGCTTAATATTGTTGGTTTGAAACATGCTCGTGATTAATTTTTTTTCCACAATTTTGGTAGTTTTGAACGGTTGAGGGAAAGCTCGTAATAACTTCGGCCAAGGGAAAACAATCTTTCTTTCTGGTGTCTTTGTTTTACTAAAAATTAAAGGAATTATTGTTCTGGTGTGTTAATATAATACACAATCCGAAATAAGATACTCAAGAAACTTATAGTGAAGGGGAAGCCAGAAGGCGTCAAATGGCGAAAGAAATAATCTACTTGTTTAAAAGACAAAAGTAATTGATTTGCTGAAATGGCATGAAAAAGAAAACTGAAACATTAGATGTGAATTTATAGAAGTAATATCAACATTGGACGGCGAACATTAAGCCACTTTTTGATAAGAAAATTTTGTATATATAATTAAGTAGTGTGGAGTGGATTGTTATTGAACATAGGCGATTACCAGTTCAGTTCCCTAATTGAAGCTTCAAGTTAAAAAAACATCTTCCCATGTGATTATTAACATATCAAACAGAGGCACAATAGCCAAATTCATTTTGCTAACTTATTTTTTTCGTTTTTGTTCTAGGAACAATTATTTTTATATTACCACTTCAAACAACATTTCATTACAGACTGCAATTACAAACAAAAGCTTTTGTGCTTACGCCTTTCTGAGTTTTTCAATTATGGGTACCACAACGGTATATGATATGATATGTGGGATTGGTTAATATATGTCTTGTTGTTGTATCATGAATATGAAACCACAATTTCTTCTCAATTTCTCAAAGATGATCACTTGCCTTTGTACACAATCTCTTCATCATCCACGTCGAATGCTGGATTACACAGACATCTAAAGAGTCTGCCTATTCCCTACATAAAGGAAAACAACAACAAATTTAAAGGTTACAAGTTAGGGATAAAATCAATATAGTTTGGAAGGAAGGGGAAGAAGGCATGATTAGGAAGAGAAAAATAGATTAGTAGGAATGCCTATAATAGTGGACATATATGTACAGCAACTAATGTGCATATTCACCAAATGGCAGATCTGGAAATGAGTTGGTGTATTAGCTAAAACATTAAAGGACCATTCTCAAGAATCATTGGTTTCAAATGACAGTAAAGCAAAAGGTTAACCTGTGTGAGTAGAGGAGTTTTATAATTTAGTGTTCTTTGTGAGTCTTCCTCATCATCACTGCTATCAGAACTGGTTTCCTCTGCATTTATATCACCTATCGTCTTCTTTTTTGAAGTCCCAACACCTTGTCCGCACTTCTCCCTCTGCAGAATAAGCAGATATGAAACATCATCAAATAATGTAACACCCTCTAAAGCTACAAAACAAAAGTGCACAACCTTGAGTAGGCTGAATTATTAGCTTAATAACTAACAAAATTTCCTGTCTATGAGACCAGACATTTGGACTTTGTGTTTTGAAGAGAAATGACAACACTTACCTCAAATACTTTCCCCAAAATCTTTAAAGCCATCGCTCGTTTCTTGAGTTCTTCCTTCTTCACATTGCCTTCTTGTAGCACCTGAAAGATTAAACAGAAGCAACTCGAGTGACACAAAAAGGTCTTTCCAGAATAAGGCATAGCAACATAAGCAGAGGATGCATGCTACTAATAAGTTAGAATAAAATATACTATGAAGAAAAATAATATGAGGCTTACCAATTGGCAGACATGCAAAAGAGTTACTTCAATGTCTACAACGTTTAGTTTCCACAACGAATTCATTAGTGTTTCTCTGTTTAATCTTAGATGTGATTCAACGTCATTTTCAGGGCCACTACCATCCATTTTAAACTGGCGACGAACATCTTCTTGAAGTTGCAGCAGTTGAAAAGCACCTAAAAACACCAGTATACGCCACCACATTATAATGCACATATGACAAGGAGGGGAGAGGTAGGATCTTCAGTGTACCTTTTGCTGCTGTGAGCTGTGATTTCCAGAAATGACCTTTGTTGCGAACCCACTCGGCCATAAATGGAACTCCCAAGTAAATTGCTTTCTTTCCAAGCTCTTGGGCTGCCTGTCTTGTGTATATGTATCCAATAGTTTGAAGAATCTCAGCTCCAAATGCTGTTAAGAGAACAGAAAAGCAAACATAAGTTTAACACATAGATCCGCCTCTGGGTATTGCCATTAGGTAAAACTAAGCTTGAAGAAATGCAAGAGAAGTAGTCAGCTGACCTGCTTGTGAAAGCCGTTCAGCTTCAGATTCAGCACGTCGTAGAAATCCTACTCTGTCACCACGAACGTATTGTTGAAGAAAATCTTTGAGTAACCAGGCAAGTTTTTCTTCCCTTTCCTTTTGGACACCCTTCATAACACAGTACTATTATTATATAGTGAATCAACTGAAAAAAGGTAATAATGTAAACTAAAGAGAACCAGTATATATGTTCCCTTTTCTATAGAACATTTTGTCCTAAAAAGATATCTTCAAGAGCAAGGACTTCAATAATACGTTTTCTTGACAGATTTCTTACAAAGAAACTACCAACAAGTGGAAACATAACTTGTATGTTATCGAACTTTCAGACATACTTGCCTTGAGTCTATCATGGATTTTCTCAGGGTTGTCATTTTCGCCAACTAATTCAGAGGAAGCCATTGATGCCACAGAAAGATGTCCGATGTAGTCTTCAAAAAGTTCGCTCCCAAAGAGGAGTGCAAACACAGCAGTTGGATCAAGCATAGTTTCCCTACAAAGAGGACATCAAAAATAGTACTAAAGTTCATGTAGCCTTAATTTCTTGATATCTTAGAACATCTTTTCTCATAGAAATTTTTCTAAGAAAGCTTCATTCTTTAATAGCTGGCCGAGATGTCCTTCCCTAAAGATGATGTTAAAATGCCTAGAGGCATCCAACAAAAGCTTGAGATGTACAATATGTAGAATGGCCAAACACATTGAATTCAGCAATTACCTAGAGACACAAGACTTGCCATTTTGATCATATACATTTCTTTGTACTGGATCACTCAAAACCTGATATGCCTCCCCTAATTCCTGTTTGTTACAATTTAAGACGTCAAAAAGAATAATAGATAATTGTTTTCCAGAAAAGTAAATATAAATAAGCAATAAGCAATGGGCTTGCCTGAAATCTTTGTGCAGCAAGAGGATCATCTGGATTTTTATCAGGGTGAACTTGCCTGGCCTGCACCAGAGGATGAAAGGAGATTTTCGATATCATTCAACAAGCACAAGAAATCTTTCTTTTTGCTTTTCTCTTCTGCTTTCTTTGATTGGAAGAAAGTGAAGCTTTTTCAGAATAACAGAAGCTACAACTGCTCTAGTTTCCTCTTGTTCAATGCAATCTAGATCAGGAAATACTTAAACTATCCCATATCCTGTTTTAAAACATCCACTACTAATTTGGAACTTCCTAAGAACAGTCCAAATTAAACTAAAGAAGATGCCAATTTCTTTCATGAATTTACTAAAATTACTATAATGCATCCTGTAATGGAAACTTCAGCGGCTGTTCAAGCAAACATTTCCTTTCAACAGATCAGAGAGGATGATACAGTTTCCACAAACACTTGTCCTTCAAGTCAGAGCAAAAGTTGGTACATTAAACTGTCAAAGCAAATAAACCTTCATTTCTAGAATAAACATTCCATGAATTACACTACTTGGATCTATTTATCAAATCCTACAAGTATTGACAGATGAACTTTAAACTATAACAAAGTAAACAAATAAACGGCATCACTAAGTAAAGCTACATAAAATTCAATTTTAGAAAGTAAAAAGAATAAGACAGAGGTTCGAAAACCTTGAGATAATAGGCCTTGCGAATCTCCTCTTCAGATGCTGAAGGACTAACACCAAGAACATCATAATATTCAGTTTCTTTCACCATTTTCTTTTTCCGAAATCCCAAATAACAAACTGCTCTTGTAGCTCTTCCAGAAAAGAAAAAAAAAGTTAAAAGAACTTCACAAATTTTATGATCAAGAAAACTTCAAAGATGAAGAAGAATGGAAAAGGAAGAGGTGGGGTGAGGGGTNATTTTGGTTCTCTTTAATGGGCTTTATTAAGATTTGTTTGGGGGCCCATTTGTTGGTGGAGTTTTGGACCTACCAATACCATATCCAATTGTCTAGTCACTAACTGCAATGAAGAACAAGTAGTTTTTATATTCAGTTTTCTTTCTTTTTTGGGTGAATAATAGCGTCTATCCTTAACTTTCTCAAGTGGACCAAAATATAGATATAGATACAGAGCACTTAAAATTTTAAGTCCAAATGTGTAATGCCCCTTGACACATAACCTAATAAACCAGAAAGATACAGAGGGTGATTGGCTAAGCTTATAAGCTGATCAAACTAGTTTATAAGCGTTTTTCGGCTTATTCACGTGTTTGGTAAAGTTAAAAGTGATTATAAGCCAAGTGTTTATAAGTCAAAAATAAGCCAAAAGCCATAAACCGGTCACCCCCATCTTATGAATTTTTAGGTTATAAGCACTTAAAGTTTGACCAAAATTTTTACTATTTCATTCTTAAAATATTCTTTTTTAGAACAAAACTCCTACATCGATAATCATTGCCTCAAGTATTTTTTCAACCCAACCCTCCCCCCTCCTCCCTTCAAGTCTGCAATTCTCATTGACTATTTAAGATAAGCGAATCCTCTATTCCTTTGCATGTTTATATCAATGTAATTGTGTATTAATCTTTGAATTGTATGTGATAAATGGGGACAGACAATGTTTGTTTCTCTTCAAATATTTTGTCCTATTTAGGTTTATTTTTTACTGAAAAACTTTTATCAATTTATTAATTATTATAACTTATGATTATATGCTTATCATAAAATAAATTATATTTATCATAAAAATTATCTTATCTAAGCACAGTTGTATTTAAAATAAAATGACAAATAGAATATTTTGTATTTGAATCGATCTAAAATCTAAAATTTTGAAGAAATTATGCCTTTATAAGTGTAAACAATTATAAGGTTATTTAAGTCATTTTAACTGAGAAAGAGCTTATCAGCACTTTTTTATCAAATACTGCAGCAGCTTATTATCAATTTCAGCAATTGTATCCAAATACGTAATTGATTATTTATTAAATCAGTTTCAGCCCTTAAAAATACTTTTTCAGCACCTAATACTTATTAGCTACTTCAAATAACTAATCCAAACGGGCTCATAATCACGTGGTAGAAAAATAAAGTCGTGGCTTTCCTCAACGCAATACAGGATAACTGATCCAAGCATTTTTTATTTTTCAAACACAATGATATAAGCAGGTAAGATAAGAGGTAATGTCACAATAGAAGAATTGCAATGCCTCTCCCCCTAGAGGCACCTTACCATGCTTCAAAAACTAACCACAAGTTAAATGAACTCTTCAATCAACCGAGATTTCATTAGATTGAACCCTAACTTTCAAAGAACAATAGTAATTTGGTTTTTACCTGTTTTCCTGTTTTTATTACAAAGAAATCCGGAAATAACTTTTTTACCTCTCCGGAGTAGGAGTAAGGTCTGTGTACACTTTACCCTCTCCAGACCCCACTAGTGGGATTCTACTTCTACTGGATTGTTGTTGTTGCATCTGAAAGCAAACCAAAAAGTCAAAATTTTCAGTTCCTTTCGATTTTTGACTTAATCTGAATAGTGCGGACCTCTAATAATAGTTATATCTATCCTTGGAGCAACGGTAAAGTTGTCTTCACGTAACCTATAGGTTAGGGGTTCGAACCATAGAATCAGCCAATGATACTTGCATCAAAGTAGGCTGCCTATATCACACCCTTAGAGTACAGCCTTCCTCGGACTCTGCGTGAACGTGAGATGCTTCGTGTAGCGGGCTGCCCTTTTTTATGACATGGAAGAAGTGGTCAATTATCTCGACCACATTATCCTGGCACTGACTGTCATTTCCTCTCTTAATCGAACTAGGCTCTCCTTGTAATTGAAAACCCAACAACGGCCGTGGGTAAGGTCCAACTCAAATCCAAGATCTGTAACTTCTATTGTTGTATGGTCATATAGCACCAGCTGTGAAGTTTCAGAGATTTCGAAAATCATCTTATTATCCTCCCAGATGCCGTGAGGGCAATGAGCATCTATTAGATGTTGAACAATAAGAATTTTGGTCCAACTACCCTCTTTTTTCATTACCCACACTTCATAGCCTTACCGGGGTCACCAGCTAACATAGCAAGCGAGTCACCATGCAAAGTCAGTCTCCCCCACTGTTCACTTGGAATATCTGGCCCTTGCATATCCCCAAACTGTTCACTGCCCATGTCAAATGAGCGTATGCTGTAGATTTCATTTAGGCCCCTCGAAAGCCAATAATAAACCCCGTTGAGTTAAGTGGCTTCAAGAGGCGCATGTAACGTACCACTGGAAGGGAATTCATGTGTAAGGTTCTTCCACGAGTTGTTGCATAAGGAATAGACATTAGGATAAACGCATCGTTCCAATTCATCCCAAAACACTCTAGTCCATACAACCTTATAATCTCGAGTCAACAGGTCAAACCCATATTCCGAATTGATGTCCATGGTCTGAGAAGAAGTGCTCGATCTCAAAAGGCGCAAGAGACAGAGGCCAGAACTCCCTCTGGTGGCAGGATTCCACAAACCCAAGCGAACGCTGTCTCCATAAAACGCTTTCTGCACTAAGAACAGGCCAGCAACTAGAGGGGATCCAGAATTTTGGTAGGATGGGTGCACTAGAAGAGGTGGATCCAGAATATAAATTTTACGGGTTCACATTTAGTTCTTACAATGGCGTACCTATTGCACTTTTGGAATTATATATGCTACATCATACACTACTACTAGTTTTAATATACACATTTTGTTTAATCATATAAGATTTTACAACGACAAAAGAAGTAGGAATATCAATGTGTGAAAATTTTGAAAGAATAAACTAAACAAAAAATGAAATAAAAAGAAAAAGTACTTAATTAATACGCATAAAATAACACCAGACACACCGATCTCCTGTGGGCGTCTACTTTTAGAAAAAAAAAGGAAAAAACAAGATTGACATAAGATTTGAACTCACAAACTCACCTAAAGAGGTACACTTAATTACCATCACATCATATAATACTTTGAGCATGAGTGCATACAGTATTTAAATATTTTTTAAAAAATATAACATTACTATATATGATTTAGGGCGGGGAGTAGGGGTTCACATGCCCCGTGGAACCCTCCCTAGATACGCCCCTGCCAGCAACACACGTGAAATAAGTGAGACTCTGAAGTTGATGGAGAGTTTTTTGTTCAGGGGTCACACCTGGAACTATTTTTTCAGGGAGCAAGGAGAAATCAACAGATTTTAGGATGATGTGTTCTGAATGTGCTACTTTCAAGTTACAAATGAGGAGCTGGGCACGATTGTTCTTGTGATGATAATGCTTTCTATGAAACTTGGACTTTTGATGAGAGAATACCAATGCTTGCACACACATTTGAAACGCAAGATTGATTCCACAGGAAACCTCAATAGAATATCCACGATTAGATCTTCTGGTAAAGGACGACAACCATCCATACTGATGGTTGTTTGCAACTAATTTACTCGGACTCGGCAATTTGGGTACCGTACCCGTGTCGACACGACACTGACATAGGTAAGGGTGTGGGATCTGTGTCGGATCCGGTCAGACGAGATCGGGTGTGTTGACCAAAATTTTAAGAAAAATTGAAGTAGTAGTATAAATATCTTTATATTTTTGTATTGTACTATCCCGTGAAAAGTGACTTTCTTGTCAAAAAAGTAGGGTACAACCTTGACAGCAAAATATATCTTTCCTATCTTTTCTCTACCTAAATGGACAAAGAAGCCATTCTCTCTCTCTTTCATCTCCACTTTCTGTGACCAAAGCTAAATCTTCATCCAATTTATAGTTATATTTCTAGATTTTTAATTTATTTTTCGCTGAATCCCCGCACCCGTACCCAGATTCATATCCTCGAATCCTAAAATTTAGATCATGAAAGATCCGACCTTTGGATCCGTACCCGTGTCGGATACCCGTACTCGAGTCCGAGTAACTTAGGTTTGCTCCACAACCTTTTAGCCTGGAAACGTAAGCAGATCTCTGGTTTAGAAGAAACAAAAAGATACAACTTATAAACATACTGAAAGAGAACACATCAAGAAAACCTGCTTTTTAATAGAATAAAAAGTGTAATAAAAAACAAGCAACAGATGTGTTCAAACTTAGGAAAACTGAAAAGACAAAAACATTCAGAAAAAAATGGACACAAAGGAATTCATTGTAGGTTACAATTCTGTGGTGTTTGCCTGCTAAACATAGAACTATATCAACAAAAATGAAACCTCATAACGGGAAAAAGAAATAGATGTGCAAGTTTGCAGCTGCAACACCCCAGATGAACAACATAGCATAGAATCAAGTGTCTCCCATCTCTCGAATGTCAACCTCTTTTCATAATTATATAGGGCCTTACATCAGGAACCCACTTTTGCAGTCGTTAGAGACACCGAATTGTTGGGAAAAATAATATCCCGCCCAGAATAATATTCACGATAAAATAACAACAACACAAAAGAGTAACAATGACACTAAATCTTTTAACCTGGTAAAATATAATACCTAGAGGAACAATATAATACCACTATAATATTACAACTTGATAGTGTCATGAGATTACTACAACTTCAAAAAAAATAATACTCTTTATTTTAAACATCTTACTATAATATTACTCACACTCTCTAATTATCTCACAAATTATAATATGTGAATTATTCTCTATGCGCTCTCTAATTTTTTATGTGTCTCAAATGAGAAATCAAAACTGCTATTTATAGTAGAGAATAACCGCCCAAACAACCAATAAGATCTTGTTGCAATTTGTAAATTTGCATGAAATCTACGTACACCCTGCTTCTAACAATGCAAGTTGCAACTTGTATTCTTTTTACCTTTTCCTTTTTAAATCATTTTCTCTTCTCATTACTTTATTTCTTTTTATTTAAA